CTGCTGCTTACAGTGCCCCCTCCCACCTGAGACAGGGTCATTTTGCCCCTGCCTTCACTAGCGGCTGGGCAGCCTTCCTTGCCAAGCAGGTCAGGTCTTCGCCTCTGCCCAGAGCACCAACCTGGCCACCACATAACCCCATGAAAACAGTAGCCACACATACAGACTGAGGGAGAACAAAAACTCAGCTGAGGAGAATCAACATGAGCATCCAGCTTTCATGTGGCTGAGCCAGGAGGACTCTCAGAACTGGCGCTTTGAAGGCCAGGCTTGAAAAGAAGGGTGGAATGAAAGGGCCAGCCTTCCTGGCACAGCTCCTCACACCCTGACATCACCCTGAACCCCTGACAGACCACTCTGTCTCCCACCCGACTCAGGCCCCTTTGAACTTGAGTCTGACCTTCACTTACACCCCTGGCACCTCGGTCCCACAGGATCCAGGAAAGGGGCTTCCCACTGGGCCATGCAGCGGTCTGACATAACTAGTGGATTCGTCACTCAGGTAAGCCTCCCACCTTGATGCTGATTTTAAAACCCTGCTCTCTTGCCTCTTGGTCTCAACTTTTGGGATTCCCAAGAGTGGTTTTTCCAGTCAGTAATAAATTAGGGCTCCAGTCACCCTGGGAGCAGGTGACTTGGAAGCGCTGGACTCCCAAACCCCATGAGCAGAAGCAATATGAAAGCGGTAGCTGTCACAGGGAGACAGAGGCAAGCTGCTGCGCAGAAGAGAGGATGGGGGAGAAAACAGGACGAGCCCGAGGCCTGGATTCCGTTTCTGGAACCTTCCATACCTTGAAGAACATAGATAGGTGGCGGGAAAGCATGCTTAGGCAAGGTCAGACCGCGTCTAAGGGGGCGTGCCAGGAGAATACGTCTGGTCCACGCAAGAAAAACGGGGGAAACCTGAAGTCCTGGCTGAGGCCAGGAGCTGGGGGTAAAGACAGGGAACAGGGATACGAGAGTGTTGTCAGCTGGGATGGCAGCTCATACTGTGTTGGGACAGATGCTAAGATCAGAGGCAGGCATTAGCTCGGGTGGATTTTCAGAACTCCTCTCCCAAAACCCATGTCTAATAACCACAGGAACTGTGCTCACACTTTGAGCTAGGACAGGCTCACCCACCCTCTGCTGGGCCAAACAGACACCCTCTGCCCCGACCTCCCCCCACCCGAGCCCTTTGCCCTGGACCCTTCCAGCACCTCCTTGCTCAGCCCTGGGATCAGAGCCCTGGGAAAGCTGGCATCAGGAAGAACCAGCAGCACTCTGGATGTTGGCCTCTTTCTCCTGGTGACAAACACGCTATCTTGAGGACCATGACACAAAAATGGGACAGCCCAGGAAAGCGAATTTAGGATGGAGTAAAGAGGAGGAGAGCATGGGCAAGACTGAAGGCAGCAGGAAAAAGTTTGGAGAGCAGTGGACAGTTTCACAAGACGGATTTTGGGGAACACCACTCAAGCACAAGTGTTGATGAAACTCCTCATGCTTGTTGATGAAAGGGCCTGGGAACACAGAGTTCCAGCAAGGGCCAGAACTCAAGGAGACTTTTCCAGGAAGGGCCCCGCCCCACCAAGGGGACAGGTGATTGGAAGGGAGTGGGCTGGCTTTCAGAGCCCTGCTCCCTAGGACTATCTTACCTACTGAGCTATCCCTTAGGGTAGCAGAAAGCAGAGTGAGCAGCTGAGAGGGGCAAAGAGAACGCCATAAAAGCCCAAGACAGGCTGGAGGCAAAACCAGATGAGATGACTGTCCCTGGTTTTGCCAAAAACTCCCATTTTGTTCCAGGAAGTTGAGGTGCCACAACACAATGATTCTGGGAATTTCTGTCCAGAGAAGCCTCTTGCTAGAAAAAGGGCTTCTCCTTCCACGCAGCCAGGCTGGGCATGCCTTCCTCTTTTACCCCATTTACTTCCCAAATCTTACTCCCTATCCCCAGGCACCAACGTCACTACAGTTCTATGCTCTGGGGAGATGCACAGCCCTTCTAGGGGAACCTCGAGGGCAAGACAGTCGGGGGACAGTTTGAATAACCTGAGTCCTGTGCTGGAGGTGAGTGGAATCAACGAGGGGTGGGCAGCTGTTGTTGCATCTGGGTGCAAGACACAAGGTCTGAAGCTATCCTGAGTTCCCCTGTGGTTATCAAGTCGAGGCGAGGAAAGAAAAACATGGGCTTGCTTCAGGGTCAGAAGGAAAGCAAGTGAGGGAAAACACCTGTGGTCACTGGCTGGCCCCTAGTCACCGGTAGATGCCAGAGTTCCACCCTCTCTTGCTGTGGACATCCCCCAGGAAAGGCCTCTGGGATGGTTCTCCCTCCACCTCCCAAGTCGCAGTAATGATAATAATCAGGCACTCTTCTCAGCACTTTCCATGTATTAACTCAGATAACCCTCAAGCCCATTTGACAGATGGGGAGATTGAGGCAGAGAAAGGCTAAGTAATTAGTCTAAGTTCTTACAGCTATAAAAGGTGGAGCTGGGATTCAAACCCAGCTCCAGAGCCTTCGCTCCCAACCAACACACCGCACTGCTTGAGGCTGACTACAGGCTCCTCTGAGGGCACTACCATTTTCTGAGTTTCTGCTTCTGGAAGGTTGGGATGGTATATGGAGAGACAACAGAAATCAAGAAGGACGTGAGCTTCTAGGGAGATAAATTATCAATGAAGCTCAGAACTGGGTGTCAGAACTACCAAAGTCTTTCAGCTTATTCTGAGAGACCAAGTTCTATTCTGGGCCCAGCTCTGGCAGGATGCACACGAAGGTCCTCCAGGGTCACAAGCTGACCCCGTTAAGACCATGGCAGCAGCCACCTCTTTGGGCCTCGAGGCATGTGCCATTCAAAGACACCTCACAAGGACACACATTACCCAGAGCCTCCCTGACTGCCAGCCTGCCCCAAGACTGCTGGGAATCTCCAATGACCCAGACCTGCCAGCCAAGAGCAGTAGCCAGCGTGCAGGCTACCCAGAGAAGCCCTGTGCTTGGAATACCAGCCGACAAGAGTGTTGGGAGCAACCGCTCCACACAGGGTGGCAGGCAGGGGAGGATTTTAGAGGCCCTCAGATGCTAAGCAAATCCCAGCCAGCAGGTGCAGTGAGGGTAAGTGGGCTACGGAACAAAGTCAGCCCTGGCACAGAGGTTCCCCAGGGCTCAAGCAGCAAAGGGCACTCTATGGATGGGGACCGTAGGCGGGACATCCTGTGCGTTGCCTGCAAGGCTCTTCCCAGACCTCAGTGGCTGCCTCACTATTGTCATTCAGGTCTCAGCTCAACTGTCACCCATCAGAGACCTCTGATCTCCAGTCCAAAATGGCCTCCCCATCACTCACCCCATTTTAGTTTCTTTGTAGCACTTTCACTTTCTGATATTTTGCTACTTGTTCATTGTCTATCTCCAATTAGAATGAAAGCGCCACAAAGGCAAGGGCTCTGTCTTGTTACTGCTGGGTAACCAGTGCCTTGAATGGTGCCTGGTAATAAGACCCACTAATACTGTTGGAATGAATGAATGAATGAATGAATGGGCCCAAATAGGCACAGGCCCTTAACCACTGATGAGGGCAGGTATGAACAGCTAGCCAGCTCAGCCTTTCTCTTCTCCTCTTTCTTGGGAAATATAGTTGTTGTTTTTTTTAATTTAATTCTAGCATTTAAAAATATCTTCATTACTTTTTCTGATTACAAAAGTAACATGTGCTCACAGCTGAAATTTAAACATTACAGAAAGGAATGGTTTAGAAAGCAAAGTCCCCCATCATCCCACATCTTAGAGAAAGCCACTATTAATGGTGTGTTGTATATTTATCCAGACTAAATTTAGTTTTAAAAGAAGCAAATCCATGCATCATAGAAAGAAAAGGATTCATAATTCTACCACACTAGCAGCCATTATCATTTCCCCTTTGCAATCTTTTCTCCTGTGTTTATTTTACAAGTTACCATAATGGACTCATTCTGTAACCTGATATTTTCACTTATTATATCATAATCATTTTTCCAAGTTGTTATATCGCCTATGTTCTCGTTACTGTAATGGCTGAGTACTATTCTACCACGTAGAAAACTATAATTTACTTAACACAGATATTCAACAAAAAGAGAACAATTGTTTCTCATTTCCACTGTTACGTTTGTTATGCCTGTAAAAGGAATTCAGCCCTTTTCTTTTCTGGGGCTATTTTCTAATGAAAGATTTCTTAATAATTCCAGAGGTAGGGTCACTGGACAGAGGGTACAAGAGTGGTAAGGCTGATGATGTAACTTGTTCTGGGGCATCCTGTGTTATGTGAGGAAGAGGTCGGCTGTCTAAGTCACTGTGTTCCCACAGTGGCCTCATAGCCAACCCTCCACTCCCACACCACCCCCCTGAACCAGGAGTGCTCACACCACCCCATCTACAGATCAATCCAAGAACACTTCCTGAAAGATCCTTCAATCACAAACGGATGTTGCAAGCCCAAGCTTAGTGAAATAGATTCTCGCCCTGAGTTTTAAACTCTCAACTTGGCAGTACAGTCAAGTGCTACCTAAAGCTGAGATATACCTCGTTTGTCTTTTCCCACCCTGCAAACTCCTCCATGGATTCTAAGGCTCTGGGCTCCTGTGAACCAGTCCAGCCGCTCCTAAAAGCTTGTCCATTCAGGAGTGCAAAAGCCCCAGCCCTCCCTGCCCTGCCTTCCAGGGCAGCTCTCTGCCTGCTGGTCCACCATCCCACAGTGAGACTGTCTGCCCTGTATAGACAGAACAGCCTTGAGGCGGGACAGGCCTCTGGGACTTGGGAAAGCAGCCAACTGTCATTTTTTTTAAAGCATCATCTAGGAAAATCCAGAGGCCAAGGCTGGAAAAAAAGGCCACGTGAGGACAGGCGAGACTCTGCAGTTGGGGGCCTCTCACCCTATACGGAGCTCATCTGGACTGAGGTGAGGAGGAGATGCAGCTGAAACAAAAGCAACAGACCCCCGGTGGCCATTTTTATGGCAGCTCAGGTGCCACAAATCCCTCACCTCCTGGTGCCCTGGGTGCTCTAGCCAGGGTCATGGAAACTGCTCATGGCATCTGAGCAAAGTCCAAGTCCCAGGTGAGGAACCGTTCCTACAGGGCACAGAGGCAGAGCCGAGGCCCAAAGCATCCACGAGCCTACAGACAAGAAAAAGAATTGGGGAAGATGTCATCTCCTATGAGCTAGTATCTCACATCACTTGTGTCAGCCAGTCTGGGTGTGGCCCAATGTTTAGAGGTCATGTGGCTATAACATGGTTCCAGCACAGGACATGGCCTGAAACTGCTGGACGCTCCCCCCCCCCTCCATTCCTGCCCCCTGGCAGGCCCTCAGACCGAAAGCTGGCTCAGAACTGGGACTGCCAGGCCTGGGCCCATGCTGCCGAGACAGGGAGGGCTGGTGATCCCCAGGGAGCCTGTAACATACTCACGTATCACACCCTTGAGTGCTTGGCTCAGAACAGACATCAGGGTCACTGTCCGGGGGTGTCCCGAGTTAACCTTTGTCCTGGTGCCTGGCTGGGCCTCAGTGCCATTCTCTGCAGTGTGGGCAAACATCAGTCCCAGGGCCCAGCTGGTCCTCAACTAGTGGGCCGGCGGCTTCCATGTGTCCCCTGGAAATAAAAGAGATGTTCATTGGTTTAAACCGTCTCCAGCGCCAAGCTACTAAGCCTGCTGGAGAGGTAGCCTCAAGGCAAACGCCACAAGGGCCCTGGCTCTGCACTTGGCACCAGACGCTCATCCTTCCCAGGCCACCTAGGCCCCTCTCCTGGAACCCGCCACCTCCTCTTAGCCACCCTGTTTGCTCAGGTCTGGTTAATCCAGAACGAGGCCCTAGGACCCATCCCAATTCACACGCGGGGCTAGGACTTCAGGCTTCTTGCACCGCGAGTGAACGTGTGCACACCTGTGAACCTGAGAGGGGATATAATTTTAGAACCCAGCTCCATTCTCAGGTAGCTTCAAATTACACTCTTACCTTTACCTGTCGTAGGTGCACCAGTTCTCAAGGGTGGAAGGCAGGCATTGTCGGACATTGGTTTTAGCATTCGGGGAGTTAAGCACAGTGACACAGAAAAGCCAGCACCCCACCACCAACAAAAACAGTGTTGGCGATCCCTCTACCCACAATCCTGCCACACTAATATTTATTTCATTCTATTATTTCATCATTATTGTTAATGAGGCCCTTCCTGTTAACATCATAACTGGCTGCAAGCTGATATAAATCTGACTTTATAATGCCCCTTGCCATGTACATAGTTTTAACATGTCCCTAAGACTTGACCATTTAAGAGAGTCTGACATTTTGTGTTTTAATATGAAGGTGCTGAAGCTTCCCTAAGTCCCCCTGGATACAGCACCATGTGCACAAGCCCCAGGGCAGAGATGAGGTCCAGCTCGGTGCTGTGGACGGCTGCACCAGCCAGATGGGAGCCGTATGTGACTAAGGGTGGCAGTTGGCAAGCAGGGTGGACCACAGAGGGGCCACCCAGTGCTGACACCCATGGCCACTTCCTCTAACACCCACCCCAGGCTCTCTGAGCAGGGGTGACTCGGACCTTTGCTCCCTAAACTGACAACTTGCAAGGCAGCAGGGGAGCCGAGGAGAAGTAAAAGGGCAGGGGCTGGAAAGCGGCAATTCATTGTATGCACATGTGCTGTGGGTAGGGAGGGTGGGCACGCCCTGGGTCTCTCCCCGGGGCCTCTGCACTGACAGAAGTAAAGGGCAGAGTGTGATGGGCTGCTGTGCTCTGCCTTGCCTCTGTCCTTCCCCAGCGGCTCTACAGGGAACCTCCAACCCTGCCCCACCCGCCCGTCCTCCATCCTCTGGCCTTCTCCCAGCCTGCCTGATGGCCCCCCTGGCACGTACCTGTCACCTTGAGAAAATGGCTTTAATGGGGCATATCTGCCATCCCCGCCACCCCCAGTGCCACCATGACCCTGTGTCTGGGAAGTTTAATCCCACCCCTGGGCCCTAAACAGGCCATGTCAATAGCACAAATAAAAACCAAAACAGAAACCAAAACCCACATCCTGGCAGCACAGCCTGCCAGTCACTGCCGTCAGCCCCAGGAGCCCGTTGCTGGCTGAGGAGCCTCCCTGACAGAGGAAGCTGCAATAGTCAGAACAGGCTCCCTCCAGGGCCAGCCTCTCAGTGGACACCTCCTGCTTCCTGGTCTGCGGGTTCTTTCCCCAGAGAGCTGGTGCAGCTGGAGGAGGAGATAATGGGATAGCAGGGGTCCTACTGCTGCCTCCACGTGTCCCCAGCCCCCTCCAACACGCCCTGCCCCCTTAGAATAGGTCTCAGGGTGCAGAGGGCATGTGGACTGCATGGCCTGAACCAGAAGTCTCTAGAGCATATGAATGTGTGAAGAGCCCTTACAGCAACTAACATGTGGGTAGAACGTATACTTTTTCTCATATGTCATCTCTTGTGATTCTCCCAACGCTCCTGCAGGGTGGGCCGGAATTATCACCACCACCGTCTCCATTTTAGAGATGAAAACACTGAGTCTCAAGGCATTAAGAGATTAGGCCAAATGTACACATTTGATTCAAACCCCGGACCTTGGGCTCCAGAGTCACCCCTCTCCCCAAACAGCATGTCTGCAAACTGCTTCCCATCCAAATCTCATTCTTAAGGCACATGTCTGCGCGCACACACACACTTCATTAAGTGTAATCTACTCAGTCCATTCTGTAAGCTGCTTATTTATAAACATACAGCCGAGTCTCTCCATCCAACTTCTCCATCAACACGCCATGTGCTGCTGGGAGCTTGAAGGAGCAGGGAGACTACCACAGGGTTTCAAGCCCTCTCCACCTGTCCTCTGCAGCCCCTCACACCCTTCCTTCAAGACCCTGCTTCATCCTCATTCCTTTGATGATGAAACCATCCTCCACAGCCCCCCCACCCCGGTTATTCCATCACCAGTGTTCCCACAGGACTTTGAACATCCTTCTATTGAAATATATTGTCCCATCTTAGAATTACTATGTGTGTTTCCCTCTCCACATTATGAATTCCTTGAGACCATGGAATTTCTGCTGGATGGATGGACAAGCAAGGCAGAGAAGCGTCCAGCTAAATTCTTAGGCGACGGCACCATCCAGTGTTATTAACCAAACAGTGATGGGGGATCTTTTCTAATTTTCATGCTACCATCTTGGAAGGGCGCTCTCCCCCAAAGCACCATAAACATTGGTTCACAATGGTCAGGGCTATCTCTGCAGACAAGGGAAGAAAGGAGGGTGCTCGCTCTCCTGTCTCCCACCTCTAAAAGCCATCACCTGGATCGAGAGATGGGGTAGGTGCCTTGGGTCTGGACGATACAGAAAACATGTCACACGCGGAGGTCTGGGACAGGAACGGAGTATCCCAGACATCCCGGAAGACACTGCAGGCTCCTATGAGCAAGAGGCCAAGCTCAGGTTCAGGTCAGAGAATACAATGCCCATTCTGTTATTTCTACAATGTGCTGGCATGCTCAAAAGGCACATCCCGTTTTCATGCAAGAAGGATTCGTTTCCCAAAGAGGTTTAACCAGCAGCTGCTGGCAGGAAATTCCCTCTGCATCATTCTCTCTCCTCCCCTATAACTATTTAGGGTAAGCTGGGCTTGCAGGAATGTATCTCTGCTTCTCTGACCAGAACCTAAAAACCAAATCGACCCCCACCTACCACCCTCATTTCCATGGCCCAGAACCTAAGACAGAAGCCAGGAAGCAGCAGGCAAAACACTGTCCTTTTTCTCTCCCGCTCTCCTCCCCCTTAACTCTCCCTAAATCTCCCTCACCCCAGTTGCCCACAAAGTAAAGAGAAGATGCCCCAAAGATCTATTGGGGATCCCTCTGGTTCCTCAAAACCCCCCAATTCTTCCCATGTGACCTAGAAGGAATGCTCTTACTTGTCAGCAGTTAAGCCCAGCCCTGAACACAAGTGGATTTGGCAACTTCCCAAACCAAGGAGTGACCACGTTCATCTATCTACAAATGCAATTGGAATTCCAAATCCCCTAGAAGAAAGGCTGTGTATGGCCAGCCTCCCCTGGGGAGCAAGGAAACCAGATCCTGGGGACCTGGCTGGCATGGGGCAGATGAGTAGAGATAGGGGAAGAACGCCCCCACCCTCACTCCACCCCACCCCCACCCCACTTGGCCTTGTCCTTCTACTCTGTAACCCCTCACTCAGGGTTTGGAATCTGGGCTTCCCTGCTTGCCAGACATCTCTGTCTTCTATCTCACCAGGAGGCCACCCTGTCCTGTCACCCTCTTCTCCTCACGTCCTCCTCCCCATCCAGCCCACTCTACTTGTCCCTCCCAATGTCCCCTCTGCACAAACACTGACTGCCCATCCCCTATACCTTGGAGGGAGGTCTCTGGCCCCAGGCCCCTGTCCTTTATCTCCCATCCCACCTCCTGGCACTGGCTCGCTACTGCTTGCTGCCTGAAAGGCTGGACAGCTGCTGGGCTCTCTAATTAGCTGCCTGGCTGCCATCCCAGAGCGAGGCATGTGTTACTGTAAAGAGCTGCCTCACCTCCCCTTCATCAATAATCCCCTATGCAGATCCCATCAGGCAGCAGCTGAGGGGCCCTAGAATCTTTGTCACATGAGACCAGCAAGGCTCCTCCTGTCAGCTGGAAAGGGATAGAGAGTGGTCTCAACCTCAACCTCACCAACAAAGTAACCAAGCATTTATTTATCTGGGTTCTCCCTACTACTGCCACACTTTTAGGGTGTCCCACAGGTTACTCCAGCACACCATGCCTTTGGAGCAATGGGGACCCTACCCTTCTGTTGCCTCCCCAGTGGAGGCAGAAAGAAGCCCAGTAGATCTTTCAGAGGACAAGCCAGGACTGCCTCAATGGTGTGACACCCAGTGCTCTACTTTTCACAGCCAAGTCACCCCAGAGATTTCTAAACAACCGGGAGACCTAGTCCAAGAAGTCCTATGGAGGCTGGTTTGTTTATTTGAGGTATTGTATTTCAGTGGGCAACAAATACTTATTGAGTACCCGCTGACGGCCAAGCACTGTACTCGGTGTGAACAAGACAATGTTCCTGCCCCTCGAAGCTCACAGACTGGTGGGGAGACAGACAATGAGTAAACCAGCCAATGCGTACTGTACTTTATGATGTTAGGCCACAAGGAAGGGGAAAGGCCTGGTAGGGGACAGAAAGAAAATGGATGTTAGAGGGCGAATCTTAAACTGCTCTAAAGAGGTAGCATTTGGGCAGAGATCAGAAAGATGCAAAGAGGCCATGCAGAGAGCTTTGGAAAAAGCATTCCAGGCACAGGGAACGACAGTCAGTGAAAAGACCCTGAGGTCGGAGCAAGCTAAACAAAGTTGAGAAATAGCAAGACCAGAGTAGCTGAGTTGGTGTAATTAAGGGGTCAGATAATTCCCTACTCCCTATTGCAAAAATCTTCTGGTGGTCCCTACAATGCAAGCTGGGCCAAAACAAATCCCCCAGTTGCCAAGCAAACATGGCCAGTCAACTGAAGATTCCCCCTGCCAGCAGGGGCTGGAAACTCTGGGTCCTAGTCAGCTCTTGCGTGGCACTGTGTTTATTGACAAATAAAGGGAAAGTGAAATCCTATGACTGATGGCCTGTAATTTCCATCTGCTTCTGATCAAAAGAATCTAAGTAACCTTACCAGGCCCTCTCTAGCCTGGGTGCTTCACTTTAATAGGAAAGTAAATATTCATTTTTATTTCAGCTAGTTTGTTGGGTTTTCTGTCACTTGCAATTAAGAAAATCTTGACTAACACGGGTGATTTCCCCTCATCTGGAACACACCTAGTTGGCACAAGGATTACATATTTAAGCACCACCTGCCCACCTCTACTGCTGTCAAAACCAGAGGCTCTGCCCCTGGCACGCAGTAAAGGGCAGAATGAGAATAAAATAGGACAAAAGCCTAACAAGGTGGGTCAATCTCAGCAAGATGGCTATAGCTTTGGGGGCTCCAAATCTCCTTTCTGGTCACTGCCCCAACTTTGTCCTGTTCCCTTGATTGATAGAGAGGATGACTCACCTGACGTTTGCTAGCAACCTAGCACACCTTGACTAGCTTCCGCAAATAGGACATGTGAAAACTAGTAACCTGGAGACAAGGCACAAGCCAAGGCCAGGGAGTGCACAAACAGATTACTTTTCTACGAACTCCAGAACTACACTATGCAGTTTGATAGCCACTATCCGCAAGTGGCTATTTAAATTTTAATTAGCAAGAAACGAATAAAATAAAAAAATTCTGTTCCTCAGTCACACTAGCCACATTCAAGTGCTCAGTAGCTTGAGCACTTGGGGCTACCTGGGGCTCAGCAGCTGCCATATTGGACAGTGCACATATAAAACATGTCCATCATCCCAGAAACTTCTATTCAACTACACTGCTACAGAACTCATCAAGAACGACTAGAAGGCTGCTAAACACACAGGCCTAAAGCTGAACTCCATTTCCTTGCTCTTAAAAATCCTTTCCTTCTGAACAGATACCGCTGCCCTGCCTCTTCCTCAGGCTCAGGCCATGTTAACCAAGGCTGCCATTGTGAGATGAGGGGAGTATTACCCTTGTTCCATGAAAGTCACTGTCCACTGTCTGAAGAGTGACTTACATTCAAGAGGCCAGGAGAAGGCCCTGGCTATTGGTGAATGAGGCCAGCCCCTGGGTCTCTGGCTTTAACTCAGTCTGGGGTGCTGCTTGGAATGTTTAAAAACTCCTAACCAGGGCCGGCCGAGTGGCGCAATAGTTAAGAGCTGGCTTGGGATGCCAGAGGGCCCCGGTTCGGATCCCACATATGAGGGCCAGTGACACTGCCCTCCACAGCTAAGATGCTGAACAACAGCTCAACCTGGAGCTGGGCTACTGTGAGTCGCCGGCGATGGCGTAGGCTGTAGCCCCTGTGGCAGTGGGTTGCCATGGGCTACCATGTGTAGCCAGCAGCCAGTGTGAGCAGCCAGCAGCCGCAGTGAGCGGCCGTCCAGAAGCCGGCGACTGATCTGCCTCGCCCGGGAAGAACGCAATGACGGTGCCAACTTGGGCCAGTGAAGCAACGTCCTCCACAACTAGACTGAAGAACAAAATGACAGCAACTTGTCTGTTCCCCTTCCCCCAATTCCCCAGTGCTGTTCCCATACCCCCAATTCCCCAATAAAAAAAATCTTTAAAAAAACCCCAAAAAAACAAAACAAAGTCCTAACCATTTATTGGGCACCTTCTAGGTGCCAGGCAGCTTTCACACAGGTCATCTCTAGTCCCCTCCACAAGTCTACGAGGTGGGCATTAACTCGGATTTACTCAGGAGGCACGAGAAATTCAGAGGTTAACGAGAGGGCCAGCACTTTTCGCCCTATTCCACACATGAGAGATGGGGACATGTGGACAGAAACTAGGAGACTTAATTTACCTATGGCAATGGGCCACTTACAGTTGTCAATAGGTTGTCATGGCAGACATTCTCACGTGAGATGTCCTTTCCAGCCTACTCAAGTCCACGGAGGGGCTTGAGAGAACCACCTTCCAAGGATCTGTTCTTGAGGCCCAGGTATTAAAAGACATCACATCAGGAAGACGGGAAGGCTACAGCACGGATCAACCTGGAAAGGTGGCAGGGGTCAGAACACAGACCTATGGCATTTCTCCTACGCAAAGAGGGGAGGGGCACGATCAACATTTCGTTTCAGAAAGATATCTGTTGGGCCATGAGTTCTTTATCTTTGCATCCACGACCTGGGTAAAGCTTGATACATAATAGGGACTGAATAGCCAACAGGGAAAAGGCAGAAGGCAGTCTTCCAAGAGTGAGGGGGCCTGGCCAAGAGAGGTGAAGGGAAGGTGCACTGGGTGAAAGGCCAAGGAATGAGACTTGTTCTGGAGGAGCTGTGACGGACGCTGTGGGCTCTCCACCTGACCCAACCTGTCCTGGCGCAACCTGTCCTGGAGCAGAGAAAAGGTCAGCATACACCGGGCCGGGCAGCGACTGCAGCCTGGCCCTTCCACCATGAGCCTTAAGCCCAGAAACCCTGCCTCCTGGTCTCTCACCGGACAGCTCCATCTACCTCGAAAGTACTGAGCATCGCAACATGCTCAAAATATGGCTTCAAACAGCACTCAGGCAAGAGTAATTAAAGGGAACGTTATCTCAGTCAGCCTCTCATTAGCCATGTAATTAGACTGCTGAAAATAATTAACATTCCTTTTGACAAAGGAAACAGAGGACCCATTACATTCATTAGGACAGCCTCAAACCAGCCTGAGCAAGGCCAACAAGAGAACTCATCACCTCCCAGTCCTGTACAGGACAGAGTGAGCATCCGGTAACTCACACCCCAAGGCGAGACCAGCCCTGGGCTGGGCTCTCGGGCATGCTGATACCCATGACTGTACATGCCCTGCTGTATATATTACAGATAACAATGACACACTTGTACACACTCAGAAAAGAAGAACTTGAAGTAAATGCATGACTGTATCAAGATGAGAGGCCAGGGGCATACGCCTGTCTCCCCCAAGGCCCTAGAAAATGACAGAAAAGGCATTTTCTAGAAAGAATAAATCTATTACAGTGCTATAAAACAAGAAGGAATTATATGGGTTCCCTGAAGATGGAAGGCAGATAGGAATAAACTGATGGAGAAACCACAACCCACCAAAATAAAACCATGAAAATAATAATAATAATAATAATAATAATAATAATAATAACAACTTACACTAATAGAGCATATTTATATGCCAGACATTGTTCTAAGAATTTGGGCATATATTATCTCATTTAACCCTCACAACAATCCTTTGAGATAGAGACTATTATTATTCCTACTTTATAAATAAGACCCTGAGTTACATAGCTTTCTCAAGGTCACAGTGCTGGTAAGTGCCAGGATGAGGATTTGAACCCAAGGGTGTAGCTGAGGATGCTGTGCCCGGAGGAACAGCTCTGGAGGCTCTAAGATTGGAGCCAGCAGGTCGGGGGCCAAGAAGAGGCCTCAGAGGTTGGTGATTGTATTGGGAGCAGCCAGGCAAGTAGGCCCCTGCCCACCTCTCCATCCATGCTTGTGCCCTGGACACTGGGGTAGGGAGGCAAAGGAATACCTAGACCGGCACCTGCCAGTCCCCAGCAGGCACATCCCACCCTCCTGGCCACAACCGGCGGCATCTGGCTCTGGAGCACAGAATCGGCATTCACAGGGAGGTCACTGGAAAACCTCAAAATACAGAGAGAGGAGAACATAATAACCAAGATGCACCAAACATTTGACAAAAAAAAACACCGTGAAAGGTAGTAGCCTTGTTCTCTACATTTTACTGCTTGTCTGTTGACGCCGCCCCGCTCTCGTCGGCCTCCGGCCCGCTGTCTACTTGAGACCCAGCATCATGCCTTCAATTAAGTTGCAGAGTTCTGATGGAGAGATAGTTGAGATTGATGTTGAAATTGCCAAACAATCTGTGACTATCAAGACCATGTTGGAAGATTTGGGAATGGATGATGAAGGCAATGATGACCCAGTTCCTCTACCGAATGTTAATGCAGCGATATTAAAAAAGGTCATTCGATGGTGCACCCACCACAAGAATGACCCTCCTCCTCCTGAGAATGATGAGAACAAAGAAAAGCGAACAGATGATATCCCTGTTTGGGACCAAGAATTCCTGAAAGGTGACCAAGGAACACTTTTTGAGCTTATTCTGGCTGCAAACTACTTGGACATGAAAGGTTTGCTTGATGTTACACGCAAGACTGTTGCCAATATGATCAAGGGAAAAACTGAGGAGATTCACAAGACCTTCAATATCAAAAATGATTTTACTGAAGAAGAGGAACCCCAGGTACGCAAAGAGAACCAGTGGTGTGAAGAGAAGTGAAATGTTGTGCCTGACACTGTAACACTGTAAGGATTGTTCCAAATACTAGTTGCACTGCTCTGTTTATAATTGTTAATATTAGATAAACAGTAGACAAATGCAGCAGCAAATCAATTGTATTAGCAGAATGTTGTCCTCATTGCATGTGTAGTGTGGGTACAGATTCCAAACCTATGGCTGAGTTCCTTCCAGTTTGATCAAAAGTTTCCTTTTCCTTTGCTCTGAATAAAACTGAACTGTGGGTTCTCTATAGAAAGTGGCATTTTGGGCTTTCCCTCTTTTTGTAAAGTGATTTCTGCCTAGTTTTGTTGTCCAGTTAACAGTTTAGTGACCTTTTAAAAGTTGGCATTGTAAATAAAATAACTTGCAAAAGTTTTCTGAAATAGAAAAAAAACAAAACAAATTTAAGAACAGAAGTTCTAGCTAGAAAAAGAAATCAATAAAGTCAACAGAATAAAATGTTTTTTAAAGTGTGATTAATATCCTCTGAGGGGGTAAAGAGGGGCCACTGAATCCATGAAACAACACAAGGCTGTTAGCAGAAAAACATTGAAGAGCTTAGAAACGATGGAAACACACCACAGTTAACTAGTTATCTCTGAGTCAAAGAATAGAGTGACTTCGTTAAAATTTTTCTTTTTATATTTCTGTTTTTCTAAACTTCCTATACTGAACATGTATTACTTTTAGAATCAGAAAAGTTGTTTCTTTAAATGCTTGGCCTGGTGCTCAATAAGATTTGGTTGCAAAGCAGTTACTTTGCAAAACATAAGGAGGTAGATTCTGACACCTCCCCACCACCACCTACCCCTGCAGCAGCCCTTGGCCCCATCCAGGCTGCTCCATCCATAACTCGCTGTCCCCCAGTTGCACCATCCACGCTCTCACCTCTGGGTCTCTGCGCACACGGTTCCCCTCCTAGAATGCCCTTATCTCTCCTCTCTGTTTATCCATATTTGCCTGTTCTTCAGCACACACTCAAAGATTAGCCTCATTAAGGAAATGTCCCTGCATCCTGTTTCACCCACCTCACCCCTCCTTCCCCAAAATCTGAAGGGCACCTAGTTCTCCAGGTCATGGGACAGCTCTCTGGGCTGTCCTGTGGGGTCACAGCACTGACGTTTATGCCCTTTACCTTTCAGAGAGTCCAAGTCTCGTCTCCCCAAATCTATGGTAGGCTCGTTAAATACACGGAGAGGGCACAGCCTTCTCTTCGTACCCCACTGTGTCTTACAAAGCTCAGAGGCTTTCGCAAGAACATTCTCATATGTCAGTTGAGTGAATGACGAATGAGCTTCTGTTCCTGGTGGGAGTAGGAAGAGAAAAACTATTGTGAAAATGTGGTTATTCAAAAGGCTGGGCCCAGCGCAGAACATGGGCAAGGCCCTTGGAAATGGGCCACCTGGTCCCAGATAGCTTTGAATTCTCACACCGTGGGAATACCTGCAAACCCGGAGAGGGTGGATGGTAAATCTAGGGGTGAAATGTTGATGAAGAGCAGGATATTTATACGGTCTTAAGGTATCTCCCCACAGATTGCTCATTAGTAAAAAGGGAAAATAATAAATACAAAAAAAAAAAAGTGAAGAAACTGGATAAAACCTTGACCAAGTGATCAAACTTCACATCACACATGAGGGGCAGATGGACATCCAGTGCCTCTGGATGTGATATCCAAGCTGGGAATGTATAATGCAGAGTCTAAACATGAGGCAAAGTCAGACAAATGTAAAGGGAAGAACATTCTGTATCCTTTTTAAAGGGAAAGGAGGAGGCAAATACTTAAAAAATGCCTACGTCATGAAAGACAAAGAAAGGCCGAGGAATTGTTCTAGATCAAAGGAGAAATGACAACAAAATGCAGTATGGGATCCTAGACTGGATCCTGTACTGGAGAGGAAAAAAATGTCATAAAATACATTAATGTGTCAATTGACAAAACTGGAATACAACCAGCAGATGATTATAAAACAATATGCTTATTCCTAGGCAATCCACACTGAAACATTTAAAAGGCCATGATGTACAAGGTCAGACAATTAAGTTTGCAAATTCATCCTAGAAAAAGTGCTACATACCTCATTGCTGAATATCACTATGGTCACCTTTGAAGTGCTCCCCTTGGGAAGCTATACACGGGCGCCAGTGCCTAGTCCACCCTTCAAAGCAATTTTGGAACTCTTTTTCTGGAATGGCCATCAGAGCTGTTGTCGTATTACCCTTGATGTCCTGAATGTCAT